AGCATAAGAAGCTTCGACCCCTAATAAATGAAATGAGACAGTTTTTCCCAGCTTTTCCATGAACGAAGAGCAAATACAATATTTTTTTCAGCTTCTTTGAGCCGCTGTCTGAAGCTTTAATATCGGGCCGTAATCCCGATGAATCTCCAACACAGCTGAACGTTGTTTTTAATATCATTACCACCTTCCATTACCAAAAATGCTTTATCACAATCAAATTTCATGGAAAAATCATCACATCCAGTGCTGCGCCACCAAAAAAGTGAAACCCCCATTTAACCAGCTTGCAAAACTGTTTACAGGCAGATGAGTTAATTAGTTTCTCGAATATATTTTCGTCGCAAACATAAAACTAAATTAAATTAATCAACATTTGCGTAAATTCTGTGCATGCGGACGACCGACGGCCGTTTCCATTTAAACTTGTTGTTTGCGTATTTTAATATTTTAATTTCGCTACAAAATTTCGCTACGCTCGGCTTGAATACGCTGGATGGGCAGTTTGAGATTTAAGGATAGTTTATACGCTGCAATTACCTTCAAACTCTCTATGCAAAATTAAGTTGTTCTCGTTGAAAATCAGGAAATTATCGAGTGAAAGCTATCGATGAAGCCTTTTAGAAATGCCACGTTTGAAACATTGTCGTATTGAAACTGGTAAGTTACTTACCAAAAACTTACGTGGAAAAACTGTCTTGGTAAAATTGGGATTAAGATAACTATTAACTACTAGCTAAGTAACTAACTTCAAAATAACACTCTTCCCAAGTTGATAACTTCCACCCAGCCTGCCATAATCGGTCGCATAAAAACACTTTGCCACCCTGAGAACAATTGACCGAGGAAAGTGCCTGAAGCCACCTTTTTGCATGTCGGTAGGACGATTTCCGACCTATTATAGCCAAGTTTATTTCCCTGCAGTATAACTTTGGAGTGGCAAAAAAGTATAGCAAATTTCACCACTAAAAACTCGAAATTACTTTCAGTTTTGCAGTTTGTCACCAGACGAGGCGCGCATATACGTTTGTCACAGGCGCCCATATATAACGTTTTATGATATATAACTAAAGTTGACGTGAATTATAGCTTCTTGAAGTTGGGCGACTGGATTTCGGGATTTATCTTCGCAGATTACTGGGCGAGTTAAAAAATTGATGCAGTTTTGCGAACTGAGCGATGTTCGATCGGATTCGAACTGGCCAACTTTAACTTACAATAACATACATCGAGTTGAACGGGAATCATTTTTTTCCAGCATGTGAAAGTCAGGATTTCGAAGCATTCATTTTTTTACCCCTTTGCGAGTTCATAATGTCTGAAACACTGACTCTGATGTTTATATTTGACAAACTCTGCCTTACTGTTTGTACTTGCTTCAATATCGGTGTTCATCTAAGTCCAACAGTCCATCCTTATGTTAAAATTTATTTTCAATAAAATTAGATTGTATGAAAGATTGGTGCCTCTACATATTTTGTGCTGCCTTGTTTCATCATTCTTCCAGTTCTTGCAACAGCGACCAACAAATAATGTAAGTAACAAGAATGCTTCAATGAGAAAAAGGTCAGCAGAAGAAGTATACGCCTTATCTAGCGATAAATAAGAAGTTTGATATGTTAGTTCACAAACTTTACTTCAATATTGCAGTCAACAGAACCGAGGAGAACGTAGTCGTATTCACGCAATATTTCAGTATATGCAGGGGGTTTTTGCCAATTTATGACTTTGGAGGAGAACAACTTTTATACTCTTAAAAGTTGTTTTGACAAACTTCAACTAACAAAAATCATCAAAACAACCAACCATCAGCCAGAGCAAATCATTGAACAACCGCACAGATCAAACCGAAAATGAGTTTGCCGCAATTAAAGTTCAACAGAGAAAATGTAGCGCTTCTGGGCGGTTGCAGGAGCCCGAGAAGTTTAAGCTGCATAACTTACTGGACTGTTATGCCGTCCCCCTGCATCTTGTCGTTCGCTTTGACAATTAAAATCGCAAGTCCTCCAAACACCACTCGACGACTAGGAAACTTTATCCAAAACAATCCAGTGTACAGATACAGAACAGCCGTTGTCGGTTTGGCCGGGGAAACTTTAGCAATTTTCGACTGGGCTCAGCTACAAACTGTGCCACAGCTACGAACTTACAAGTAGCGGAGCCGGTGTTATCTTGACCCCAACAACTACCTAGCTTTCGACTAGGGCGTTTACGAAAAACTTATATTAGACAGCTGCCCGACAGTGAAACACTACATTAAGAAAATTTGTCGTTGTAGCTGAAAATATCCAAACAGTTATTTTAGAACGTTTCTACCTTTATTGAGGTCCTCTTCACAGCTAGAAGAACAAAAGCAGCAAAAAACCGTTATGCGTGTTAAAGGCTCGATTTTTGAGTAAAGAAAAATGGCGCGGAATATATCTGGAAAAGCTGCAAATACAAAATTGACAATAGTGTCAGCTGAGTTCGAAGTTTAATTTTATCAAAATATTTAAAAATATTTTTTTTCTATCACCATGACCATTGCTTGGTGTTGTCTGAATTAATTTGAGCCTCTGGGTTTTGTTGAGAAGCCCCAAAAGGCCCATTGAATCCAAGTTTTTGTTTTCATAAATAAACTTTTTTGCTCAGTGTATATATATGCATTTGCTCAGTGTATATATTGTACTAGCGTCGGAATGATTTACAACTGTTCCAGCTTTTGTGGTAATTTTGTGCCAACTAATTTTATATTTTTGCAATAATATTAAATTCTAATCAGAGTCTAATATGGAATCTACCGCTGTTATTCCAGATTTTATTGGAAATAAATGCATTTTTGTGTTTCTCTACCTGGAACTGTTGTGAAAATTGCCAGTAAATCGTTTTTTTTTTTAATTTTTTTTCAATTTCAAAATATGTATAATATTTTCCGTTGAAACCACGTCAAGCTCAGTTTTTCAGTCCAGCCAACAAAAAATGGAAATGTTCCCAAACTTTGCTTTTTCAAGACTGTTTATTTAAGCAACCGAAAGATAATTGAATGCGAAGCTCATATGTTCTACATTAGTCGAATGAGAAATCCTTGCTGTACGAGAATCTGTTTCTAGACTTATTCTTTGTTTAGCAACGTTTGTTATTTTTTTATCGCATAGAGTGGTTTACACGCTTTTGTATTAAAAAAATATATATTTGAACATTGGTGTTCATCAACCTAAAATAATCGCCGTAGAAAGGCAATAGTGCAGCAATTTTTTTAATTTCGAAGGAAAAGTATCATCCATGTAGTTGGTTATTGCTGCAGCTTACTAAATTCAAACACAAAGGCTTCCGGCTGCAAAATGCTATATAATGTAGAAATATATCCCTCAAAG